CATCACTTTTCGAGATAGCCCTCCGATGGCTCAACGGTAAGTCTGAAGGCTTCCAAAGCACAGATAGCCCTCCGATGGCTCAGCGGTAAGTCTGAAGGCTTCCAAAGTACAGATAGCCCAGTGTGTAGCTTTGTGCTTAACAAACTTTTCGATATTGTTTCTCACATTCATTAAATTTTCGGTTACTCTTCTTCAATACTCCATTATCTTTACTCTTCATCATCTTAGATTTCCTCTTCTAGTTAACTGTCATTCTTGATTTTAGTCTTCAGAAACTTCTCTAAATCTGTAATTAAATTATTCCGGTTTTTTTCATACGTTCTTCCAAATTTCTTTCGAAAGCTCTATACCATTTTTGAAAATCCCGGAAATTTAGTTTTAAATTTCTATGAAATTTTCCAGACGTGTATCCAATTTTACCTAACTTGACATCAAATTGGACTTTTGGACGGATTCTTTTGAGATGGAAAAAAAAACTTGGTGGTTTATAAAAAGAATGCAAATGTCTTGGTTGTAACTGCCCACTACTGGTATCAAAATCCGGTTTCTACGTTGTAAGTCCACAGACATAGCGCTGTGCCACTGAAGGGGGGGGGGGTATTTTTGCCTTCATTGGATGTAAAGTGAAATCATATTTTAATGAGTTATTTCGTTGGGTTGGTTCTTTTAGATTATTTACTGAAAATAAGTCCAGTCCACGTAACGATAACAAATTAGTTTATTTCTTCCTTAACGTTGGCTGCTACAATTTGCATTCAGTTATACTTATAGGCCTGAGTTCAAAAATAACGTTTTCACTTTCAACAGAAATTTACTCATTAATGATACTATCACTAATGTACAAATAAACTTACTTGTACAATTGCACGACAAATTGATCGAATAACTGAATATAAGCGATAAATAACAGTGATTTAAATACTTCACTGAATGACTGACACTATACCAATTCAAAGCTGACTCATTGCTTGTCTAACTATCGTATTTGTTGATGTAGCCTTGTTTCTAAGCGCTTCGCAAAGGCTCTCGATCATTAATATTGTATGATTTAGGGCTACTTTTATAAACTTACTTGATATTAATGTCACCCGTCTTTTAGTTAACATATAAACGAAATCATTGAAACTATAGCTTACAACAAAATGAAGTGAATCTTAAATTTTATTTTTGATTTTGGGGTTCCCATAGTTGATTGAAAAATAAGCTTTCGACGTTTGGAAAATGCCTTTTATTTATAAATTTAGGTTTCTCGGAGAGTGAAAATAATAAATATTTTCTGTTAGTTATGTGACAATAGATATGGCATTACCTATAGATTAGGGCGCTCGACTCGCAATCTGCGGGTCGTGGGATCGAAACCTGTAATCAAACATGCTCTTCTTTTCAGCCGTAAAGGCGTTATAAATATGACTGCCCACCCCACTTTTCGTTTGTAAAGAAGTAAACCAAAGAGTTGACGATAGATGGTGTTAACTAGCTGTCTTCAATGTAGTCTATCACAAGAAAATTATGGTAGACAGTACAGCTGACCTCGAGAAGCTTTGCGCGAAATTCAACAAATAAACAATACGTGGCAACATAAGTGTGTTGGTTTGTTATTATAGTTTTTACCCAAAACTACACAAGGGCTCTCTGCGTATAGTCGTCTGTAGTTTTGAAATGACAGACTGCGAGGAAATCAACTAGTTAACAGCCACCATCAGTAACCTAGGGCTACTCTTGTATGATCGAATAATGGGATTTGATAGTCACTCTAATAACGCACCCATGGGCCCAATGTGCGAAGCTCATTTTTGCATTAATAAGATGCAAACCATGAACTCTGGGAATCGAAGTCTAGACACGCTGGCCCTAGGCATAAATAATACTGTTTTGTAACCGTTGTAACGAAATAATTCTTAAAGAAAAAAAAAAAAGAGGGAACACGATGCTGCGTCAGCAAATAAACAATGTACAGCTACCAGGGATATGAAATGAGAGAAGGAAAGAAAATAACGTGAGATACAGAATATGTGAAAGAATAAAAAAAGAAAATTGGGAGAAAGAAGTAAGTGGTGATAAATAAAATAATGTTAGTGTGAGAGCATAGCCAATCTTAGCGTCATTCTGCATAAAGTAACGTGAAATGTGATAAGAACAGGAAGAGTTGGAAGAGCGAATGGTCGTGAGAATGATTTAAGCCACAACTTATCTAGTGACGTATTTGGTATCTTCGATGACAGCGTGAACCAATGATTGAGAAAGGAAGTGACGCCTGAAAAGAAGAACTGATAATACCTCTAGAGGTCTTTGCATTTTGGTAATCTTGATCTCGTCGTATGTGTACTTGTTAGCAAGTAATCTTTTTTTTATTTTGCGCGTTGCTGATCGACTATGTCGCCATAATGAAAACCATAATAAAAACTAAATTTGTTCAAGCACGTGCACTCTTATGTAATAAATATTCGCAGGATAAGTCAGTAGATATTACATCTAGAGAATTTTAGTTTCTTGGTGCTATAGCTTGAGATTTTTCACTTAATCCGAAGATTCACCGAGCTCGTTCTAAACAAAGCGTCCCCCGATGGCTCGGCAGTGAGTCCGAGGGCTTGTAATGCTAAAAAATCGGGTTTCGATACCGGTTGTCGGTAGAGCACATATCCAGCCCATTGTGTAGTTTTGCGCTTAACTATAAATAAACAAGTAAACAAAACACAGATAAGTAAACTCCATCACCATGAACAAGTAAACAAAGCTAAGATAAGTAAACCCCACCTCCATCAACAAGTAAACGAAGCTAAGATAAGTAAATCCCACCACCATGAACAAGTAAACAAAGCTCAGATAAGTAAACCCCATCACCACGAACAAGTAAACAAAGCTAAGATAACTAAACCCTACCACCATGAACAAGTAAACAAAGCTAACATAGACAAACCCCATCACCACGATCAAGTAAACAAAGCTAAGATAAGTAAACTCCACCTCCATGAACAAGTAAACAAGAAAGCTCAGATAAGTAAACCCCATCACCATGAACAAGTAAACAAAGCTAACATAGACAAACCCCATCACCACGAACAAGTAAACAAAGCTAAGATAACTAAACCCTACCACCATGAACAAGTAAATAAAGCTCAGATAAGTAAACCCCACCTCCATGAACAAGTAAACGAAGCTAAGATAAGTAAACCCCATCACCACGAACAAGTAAACAAAGCTAAGATAAGTAAACCCCATCACCACGAACAAGTAACCAAAGCTAAGATAAGTAAACTCCACCACCATGAACAAGTAAACAAAGCTAAGATAAGTAAACCCCACCACCATGAACAAGTAAATAAAGCTCAGATAAATAAACCCCACCACCATGAACAAGTAAACAAGGAGGCTCAGATAAAAAAAACCATCACCACGAACAAGTAAACAAAGCTAAGATAAGTAAACCCTACCACCACGAACAAGTAAACAACGCTAAGATAAGCAAACCCCCATCACCATGAACAATTAAGACTGCTAATGCTAAGTGTTGCTTGGGGTGAGATATGTTTAACCCTGAATATTTCCAGTAATTCAACGAACAGATTTCGGCTCGTTCCTAAAATATTTATAGATAATGAATCATTTCTGTATATTATCATGCCCATTTCTATAATATAGTTATATACTCATAGTTTCCCAAATCTATAAGTCTATATGCGTTTCTGTATATATTACGTGTGTGTGTGTGTTAATTTATTACGTACCTTGAAATTCAAAATATTTATTTTACTAGGGTCGTGTTTGTCAGCATGTATTACAATTTTAGTTAGTACAAGAAATTTCCTAGCCGAGAGCGCAAACAGTATTGGGATAAGAAATTACTCCACGAGCCTACCTAATAAGACTTTTGAGGATAGTAATAATAGTAATACCTATCTCCTGCAGGTGTATCAGTTTGTAGATCAGGGGTCAAAATATTGAATAATGAGGTTGTTGTATGATTTGATTTCCTGAAACATATTTCGTCAAATATATAATTGAAATTCTAACTTCATGTATTATTTGTTTATATGAACAATTTTTATCCCTCCTATCGTCCTAAATAAATATTTAATTTTTTGTCCACATTCAACTGCTTTTCTCATTTATCTCCTGTTTCTGTTTGCTTTATTGGTTGTTTGTTTGTAATTTCCGGCAAAGCTACACGAGGACTATCTGCGCTAGCCGTCCCAAATTTAGTTGTGTAAGACTAGAGGGAAGGCAGCTAGTCATCACCACCCAACGCCAACTCTTGGGCTACTCTTTTACCAACGAATAGTGGGATTGACCGTCACATTTTAACGACCCCACGGCTGAAAGGGCGAGCATGTTTTATTTACGTATTTCAACAGTTTACTTAAGATAAACAATTTCTTTTACC